GGAAGCTCAGGGGTGGATGTCAAAGCTTGAGCGAAGGGAGGGAGGGAAGCTCAGGGGTGGGTGTAAAAGTTTGAGCGAAATGGTTTACGCTCCCTTTCCCGAGGGAGCGTGAACCATTCGCACAAATTTTTACACCCACCTCTGAGCTTCTTCCCTCCTCTCCAAAAAAGGGATTACGCAGTATGCGTTCTACTTCAATCTTTTCCAAGCGCAAAATGAAATGAAAATTTATTGTTTTGCAAGCGGAAAATGAAGTGAAAATTTATTGAAATGAGTTAAAGAAGAGTAAAAAATAAAAATGAGTGCATGAATTGTAGTATTACACAGTATTTATTAAGTATTACACACAGGGGGGTCGTATCAATTCGCCCATGAAGGGGGGGGGTCGTAAAAAATTTCCAAATAGTACCAACGATAGGGTTGACCCTGCTGGAGGTCACCTAGCCGCTATTGAGACAACGTGCAAAGCCATTGACTTTTGTCAAAATATTGATTGTCGAATCTGCGCATCGGTCTTATTTAATCCCGAATGTTGGCCTCTTGGAGCCATTCTTACGCTAGGAGTTGCACTGTACACCATAGTGGCTCTTCTTTATGTACTTTTGTATGTCCCAATAACAATTGGGAAACCAATACGCATCATTTTTGGGAGCTTGAAATACTCATAGTGCATTCCATAGCGTGCATAGCGTGCGCAGGGGAATGTTGCCTACGACTGATTCGTCGAGCACGAAGGCGCAATAGAGCGACATCAATTTCTCGATTTACTGTTGCGCTCGCTATTGCCATGACACTCATATTGCCGGAAACCCTAGTTGCAAATGCCTGCCAAGACGTCGACATTCTAGAGCACCAAACTACTATATGCACAAAAGCAAGCTAAGCGAGAAATGCACGGTGACATTGTCAGAGGTTCTGAAGCTGAACACTTTCAAACAAGAGGCCTGCTTGCGCCTTATCAAAAATTCGACTTTGATAGCGAATCTAAAAATTCGCTGGAAAGGGCTATATTTGAAATGCGAGCAAGAAACTTTGTATTTCACACGCTCGACCGTCCTTGAAGTCGTGGACAGCAAGCGATGCCCCACCATGGGATCGTGCGGTGATGAGAAATGCGCGAGTATAAACACCTCCACATTAATAGAAGAATTGGCAGAAGGTAACATATACCCGGGAAAAACCAAATGCTTCGAATCCTGTGGGGGATTCGGATGCGATTGCTTCTATCCCAGTTCCGGTTGCCTTTTTTATCGAATATTTGCTAGACCGCGCTGGACAGAAACAACGCACCTAGAAATCTTACTGGAGGAAGTTTTTACAGGGAGGAACTCTTCACATTTCTTTGTGGACGTTCACCCTAACGTTCCCGTCAGTCTACCCTTTATGCGCATAACTATGACGCTGTTAACATTGCCTCCCACACCGAAACTTAACAGTGAGTTTGTTACCGACGGAGTAGAAACTGCGCTATTAACTCAAGCAGTAGCTCCAAGTCTTAAGTGTGGATCACGGTTAGACGCAGAGTCGTTGAATTGCACCTTTAAGGAGAACTGTATTTGCACTCCCGCAGAATTCAAAGTCCTGTGTGAATGCGACGACTCAGATATTGCGCAAGAGTTTGGCAATATTCAGCAAAAGTTGCCTATAAAAACAGCCTATTGGGAACTTTCAAAGGGAAAAGAATCACCATTGACCGCAAAAATCCCACAAATGGCTTCCTCAGAAATCGTAATCAACTTTCATCGCGCCATGGACACTGCACATGTAGCAAATCAGCAACCACCACTGCGCCGTAGGCGACACTACTTTGAAAGGGTGTTACCGCTGCGCAAAAGGCGCGGTAGCTATGGTTCGATGCACCTCGGAAGAAAGTACTTTAGGAGAAATTCTTTGCGCGCACCACTCATTCGTAATACCGTGCGCTCCCGATGGACCCAAGTCTGTCCTCCATTTTCAGTTAGATTCAGCGCGTCATCATTTTGAATGCACAATAACGTGCGGTCGAGAAAAACAAGGCTTTAAGATCAGCGGAATCCTGAAATATGTCAATTATTTCGATTATCCCAAATATACAATGCTCGATGGTAATAGCACAATTTATAACGAGTTCGAATGGCCCGATCTTGCGCACATCAAAGATGTCATATTTGGGTGGTATAAAGTTCTCCTTGTAACGGTGGTAACAGTAGCTCTATTGTTGGGCCTGACCTACATTTTCATCAGCACTATGGGGTTGCGCCTTTTCACCGGCATACTGTGCATACTGAAAGCAGTCCTTTGCGCCCCATTTCGTGCAGTATGCGCCATGCTTCGCTTTCTGAAACGCGAACCGTTCACTGTGCATGATCAGGCCAAGAAGAGATCTTAGGCCTTAGTGAATGATGGGACTT